GGCAGCTGGCATCCTTGTACATGCAGTGCTGCCATCTTCTGTTTCAGTCCGTTATTACACTCTTAAATTCTACTACTTATTCCTGCGTCTTTTGGGATCTTAAAAGCTTCAAACGACGCGTCGACTATTAAATCAGTCGACTAATCGTGGCAGCCCTACTGCGTATGAAAACAAAAGCACTGCGCATGCACGTTTTACCTATATTCTATCGCAATATTTCATTTTCTTATCGTTGCCCAACATTATACTGGTATTACCGTGAACAGTATGATATGGCCCAGCCCTAAAACAAAGTATAGATTTTATTCTGCTGGTACTGATTCAATCAAATATCAGCCTCGGTATCGATACTATTGATATTTGCATCGGTCAGCCCATCGGTCACTAGCAGCTGCTGCTTCAGATGTAACCACGGACTTTTGGGATTGGGTAGTAGACAGGTTTTAAGGGGGCTTTTGAGAGCAGTTGGCTTGTAAAAGGTATTTTCCACTGATTCAAAATGAACAAAATGAACCTTTGACCATGAGGCTGACTGACTGCAGTGAGTCAGTATTTCTATTTATCGTTGAACCTAATGACCATTTTAAGTAGTGATGAACGAGTATAACCATTTCCCTATTAATCAACGAACTTAATCTCAACAAAGATATGTAAATATAATGAAAAGCAGCACATCTTCACATTACAGCAGCGGCAAATACTTAACCTTGTTTTTGTTACACCAATTATTTGAGACACAACAAAATTGAATAACCCAAACACACTCTACCAGTCACTGTGCAATCAAACATTTTTCACATCTGCAATTATCCGTGCATGTTCTTACCGGTAACATCTCATTTTCTTTGCTCCTTTCTTAAGCAAGGCTGATTAATGGATTGCACGTACTGGTGTACATTTCTCCACTGCCATTCCTTAATCAGTTTTTTGATCTCGGTAATCTTTCACCATCTTATTTGTAATCATTCCAGCAGCGCTTTGGCAAGAAATCAAATGCCACGCCAATAAAGCATATTCAATTTAAGTTAACTTGTATTGACTGGCAGGCTGGCTGACCTCCTACCATATATCACTGCACCTCCCCCATTCTCTCCATGCTTCATCCTGCTCAATTACTCATTTGAAATCAGTGCCTGAAAACACATACACGCCTTGCAAGAGTTCTAAAACAACCCAAAAAATAAAATAAAAAAGAAAATATGATTGCAAAATGACATAAAAGAGGTAGAAAATGAAAGAACAGAGGGAATTATAGGAATTAAGGGAAGAAAAAAATAGAGAAAACGCATGACTCACCTGTACGCTCTATGTAGTCTACACATTTCTCGATGAAAAGTGGGATGGGGCGATCCGGGGTTACTAGGTTCTGCAAGGGAACGCCAAAGTAGTTGCTCTCCCAGGTTCTTCGAGTGGGTGGGTACAGCGGTTTGGGGGGCTTGGAGGATTTCGGCTAAGATAGCAAATAAAAGAATGAAAAACAGAGATGAGATGGCAAAGATCACAGGGTGTATGAAGATAATTGAATGCAAAATAAAATAAATAAATAGAAAAAATAGTAGTGGGTGAGGAAGGAATGATGGGGGAGAAGAGAGGATAATAAATAAGAGCAAGTTGAGAAAAGAGGAGGAATTCAATAGAAGAAAAGAGGAAGCAGAGAGGAAAATGAAAACATGGAGAAGTGAACAAAAGGTTTAAAAAAGAGATTGAAGACAAGGGGTGGAAAAATAAAATGGAAAAACAGTAGGAACAAAACCGGGAAAATGACATAAAAAAAAAACAGTAAAGGAATGAAGGGGCAATTGAGAAATAGACACCAGGGACAACAAAGATGGAGGAGGAGAGAGGGTGAAGAGGAGGCAGAACATTATCACAGGAGAAAAGGTGGAGGAGGAGGAGGGTAATCGGGGAATAGATCAGAAAGAAAATTAGTGGGATGAAGGGCATTCGAGTGGGAGACAGCATGTAGAAGAAGACAAGGAACACCAAAGATAAAAACAAGAGACAAAACAAGTCACTCAGACTGAAGCTGGGATGTGTAACAAGGTGCAACGTTAGCTTTGATTTCCCACACTCTTCTGCTCTTCAAAGTGTTGTCATGCCTACAGCAGTTCGAGATTCACTCTAATTGGCCAGAATGGTGACTAAACACCTTCCGTTTTGTACTTCCTGGTCTGGCTTTCGCTCTCCTCTCTGATTATTTAAGATGGTTTGAATATTCCAACAATTCCCTTTTATGATGCCCATGTAGCGCCGGTGGCTCTTCCTCTACTGATTTGCACTTTATTATCTGATCTGTGCTTCCATGGTTGCCGACTTGCTCTGAAGCATTTTTATGTGTTTTGTCTGTGCAAATAGTCTTGAGAGCTTGAAAAAAAAACAAACCCTCAACTTCTTTAGGTTTTTTTGAAGATGTTTCAAGACGTTTTTGTTTCCAAGGTGTAATAAAAAAAGTGTGGGTCATTCAAGTTATCAGCCAACAGGTGAAACAACTGTGAGACATTGCCCCACCTCACCATCAAGTGAGTCACTGAGGTCACCTTAGGCAAGGTGTGAATGGGGGTTGCAACACAGGGGAAGGCATCACAGGACTGCACTGTAGATGATTGATAGCTACTGTCGCAAGCCACCACCTCTGTTCAGTGATGGTCGCTAAAAGTAGGTGTAGATTTCCACCTTTGCTCCTCTTTCAAACCATCTGTTTTCTCTATTCAAAAAGTGAACACAAAGGTGTGTTCTTTCTCCTTTAAGCAGACATGTACAGCTGTTCTGCTGAGGTGGCTCTCCTATGATGTGCTATGCGTTTGTGGAGTGGCTGTTTGGTCTCTCATATGTAGTTGTCTGAGCACTACTCACTGCACCGCACCACATACACTATGCTGTTTAACTTGAGGAGGACAGCCCCCACTAGGGGTTTACTGGAACATCTCCATTAGATGTTCTAAAAATGTAGAAGTCCCTTGGGAAGAGAGGCGAAACATCTTCCAAAAAAACCCTAAACAAGTCCAGTTGCCTTCTTTTCAAGACTACAAACATCTTTAATCAAAAGCAGATGTCCCTGCTTAAGAATTTTTTTAAATGACAATGTTTGTTTTAACAGTTCTCAAACATGTCTGCAGAATATTTATCCACTCTGATCACCTAAAATTTACTTTGGAACACAAAATGACATTAACAGTACCTCCATTTCCCGCCTGTAATATATCACAAATAGCGCTATACCTGTAAGTAATTAACTAGGAATTTATATACTGAAGTCTGTTCATGTGTGGGCGTGAGCATGCATTGCATACTAATGCATGCTTTTAACTTCATTTTAAACACGGCTGTTTGATTTGTGCATGCGTGATTTTAAAATTTTCAGCTTTTCACCACAATAAAATGTTGCTCTAACAGTAATAATGTGCACAAAGCATTTTCTTCTTGGTTCTAGGGAACACACCATGTCTGGATGTCGTCAGAAGTTTCAGGCAAGCCTTTAAAGAGCTGTCAAAGACACAGTCTTTGCTCTGAAATTATACAGACACCAACTGTCTTTAACAGTGTGTCTTTTATCAAGCACCTTTATTGCTTGTCTAGGGCCTGCAAGGTGTGGAGGCTCATAAACTACTTTAGCAATGGGGCCAATCAATAAATTATCAAATTAGTTTGTTCTCCAGATGAGTCTCAGGCCAACAAAATTCACTCACACCCACACACATTTGCTCACCCCTTACTATATGCAGTCTTTTCTGTGCTCATTTACCCATGCACTCTATCAATCTCTCGCTCTCACCCATTTGCAGTGCAATAAAATGCTATTTCACTCATTCTCAGACAGAAAAAAAATCTTTTGTTTGACCTCCCTGTTCTGTAAAGCATTTTCAAAGCATCTTATTTCCAAAAAAAAAAAGGAAACAAAATAAATGTGATTCTTCAAAAGTCAATCTATCATAACAGACAAGTCTCACCTTCTTGGATTCTTTTGGCGTCTTGGGCGTCTTCTTCTTTTTCAGCTTCTTGTCCTCCTGCTCTGGGTCGGAGGTGATTGCAGGATTATCAATCCCACCCTTCCAAGGGTCGACAGGAGAGAGCAGCGGGTCCTCCTCGCTGCCCCGATGGGCTCTTCTGTTTTTCTTTTTCTGAGTGGCCGGGCCAGTCTCCTCTCCATCACTGTCCGAGTGGAATCGTCTTTGGTAGGCTTTCGTCTTGCTGAAAAGGATTTTTGAGCGATCTTTATATTTTGATGGCCGCCTTGCAGCCTGGGATTTCCGATCAAACCCATTCTCTTCCTCTCCTCCTCCGTGGAGAATGTGTAACCCACCAAAAGAGTTCTTTATTTTGATCAGGCGGTTGTGTGCATCTTCAGGCACAGCATATATGTCATCATTGTGGAAGCCCCTGGGTCTGAGCAGGGTGTCCACAGGGTCTGCATAGTTGTCTGATGGCTCCACATCTTCAGTGTGCATCACTGGGGCACGTGGCATTCTTCGATTACTTCGCATACCAGCTTCAATGGTTTTGAGCAGGTTGGGGTCCAGCTTTTTAACATTAGGCCTGGGGAGCACTGGTTTGGGCCGGACGGGTGGAGGCACTTTGTGGTTGCGTTCATGGTCTCCGACAGGTGTGCTATGGACTGGGTACTCATTGCCCTCGAGGTCGATCCTGTATTTAGCCCGCTCACTGGGTGTGGGGAGAAGCTGAACATCATCGCCTATTGGACTATAAGGTGGAGGGGCCTCATTGTCATCGTCAGACTCTGGGTAGTAAGTGTTGTAAGCTGGGGAGTGGCTATGGGGAGAGGTGGGAAAGACATCCTCACTGGCTCCTGTGGTGCACTCACGTGACGAGCTGTCAAACAGGAAGCAGCTCTCAATGTTAGGCTTCTTCTCTAGCACTTCATTGAAAAAAGGGGTGAAAACCTCAGTCTGTCGATGATACTGGGACAGCGAGTAGAGGGCCGTAAACTTGGCAGCAATCTCTGTGGCAATGTGCTCCCCCTCGGTCATCAACTCCTTGATGGCATCATTCTCAAAGAAATCCGCCTGGCTGTCTGTGATTGCCACCATCTGCACGGGGATTACATCCTGGACTTCTGCCAGGAAGGCTCGCAGGGTCGCCATGGAAGCTTTGCGTTTGGCAGAGTAGACCAAAATGTAGCCATGCACTAGTTCATCTTTACGAACACCAATGGCAGAGTGGTAGGAGAGGACGGTGACCTGGATCCTCCTCCTGCTGTCCCCTATGATCTTATCCAGTATCAGTGTGTTGCTCTGACCAGGCTGTCCAGCGCTACAGCAATGCGAGTCTAGAAACGGCGAGAGGATGAGGTCAACGCTGAAGGGATCCCAGCACATGGCGCACATGACTATTCTAAGGTCCATCTCTGACATGTCTTTGATACATGGCAGTGGGGCCAAGACCTCAAAGCTATGCTTTAGCCCCTCCAGCACTGCTCTGAGACCCTGCTTAATTTGGAACTCAGTGAATTTGCGAGGAAAGGCTCCGGAGGGGATGTCGACAAAGGTGCACTGCAATTTGTTTGCCAGCTGCTGACCCTGGTGCCTCAAGATGGGTATGTTTTTACAAACACTGTCTCTCTGATTTGCCAGGATGAGAATAAAAGGGAGCGGCTGAGCGAATCTATCTCGCCGACTCTGTGCTATCTCCGCCCTTATCCTGCCTATGCAATCGCCAATAGAGTTAAGCGACTCTATTGAGTTGAACACACAAAAGCAGCCGTGTGGCTTAAAAGTGGTGACCCATGTGTGGCTGAAGAGCAAAGTGGAGTTGACGTCCACAGGAAGAAGCTCCAGTTCATAGATTTTACCATCTAGAGTGTACTCATCGTCTGTAGACTGAGCTCGGATCTCATTGGCTAGGTCCTGTGAGAGACCCTCCTTTCCCAGGAGGCAGAGGTTTATTTTGTCGATGTTGGCACTGTTATAGTAAAGATTAGAGCGTCCGTGGTCGAGCTGTACCAGCCTGTTTGCTAAAACTTGCTCCACTTTCAGATCCACACAGTTCTGCCCGCTCAGGCATGTCTCCTTAGTGGGATGATAAACAAACCCAATGTGTTTGAGGAGGAGCGACTCTCTATCTGGGGCAAGTTTCTGCAGTGCTCTGTATCTGGGCTCCTCATTCAGCACACTGTGAATTTCACTCATCTTGTCACAGCTGGGGGTTGCATTCAGGTCCAAGTCATAGAATAACTCGGCGTGCTCGAAAAGCATTTCCTGAAAATCCTCTTTAGCCCTTTCAACTATTTCCTGCTGGTGCCTACAGTAAACATCCCTCCTATCTGATTCCGTGATGTACTTGTAGGCCTCATCCTCCATGACAAAGCACATGACTTCCTCCCAAGGCTGCCCTGGAGTGATAAAATGAACCCTCTCCAATGTCTTCTTGAACCTCTCTTTCATTTCCCCCCTCCTCTTCTCAGACAGAAGGTGCTGGACGTGATTATGGTAAATTCTCTCACCATCCGGTGTATCAAGAAGGTCAAAGGGTATCCTACGGTCACTGTTATCAATATGGTCCGTCTCGTCCCACGGTGTATTTTCCAGTATCACAAACCAGTACTGGAAATCAGACCTGTTCCGGATCACACTCTGTGCCTCGGGCCATGAAAGGTGTTCAATCTCGTCCAGGTTATTGAGGATGTTGTTAAGGGTTTTCGGTAGCGTCGTCAGATACTCCTCCCTTCTCCTCTTAATGTGCTCCTGTTTCAGTTGTGCAATGTGCTTTGTGAACATGTTGCGGGCCTTCTTGGTGCCCTCCAAGGTAATGAACTCATAATAGTCAGACTGCCCCTTTAGATTATTCATCACAGTTTTCCAAGTGATGTGATAATCTCTAACTGAGTGTACCATCAATTTCTCAAATCTATCTGTTGCTGAGGCAACAAGCTGACGTTGGATTTTATAGGCCTCCAGGTATGGCACAGTTTTTGGCTTCCCTCTTGTTTTATCCAGCTGCTGGATTAGGGCGTTGAAGCAAAGCTCTATGTTGACATTGGAGCGTGCTGACGTTTCAATTAGCATCAGGTTCTTCTTACTGGCAACAAAGCCCTGCAGGTCCCTCAGGTACTGGTCTACACACTCATCACATTTCGTGGCAGCAACAACAATAGGCTTCTTTGACTTGACAATTTGAGAGTAAAGGCTATTGACAAATTTCATTTGGTCATCAAACTTCCTGTTGCAACCCTTACTAACATCAATGCACAACAAAAAGGCATCGATGTTTAGCTTCCCATCAGGCATTTGCTTCTGATCAAAGTCCTGCTCCAAGCCCAGCTGGTCTGTGCAGATGTACATAAGCTTCTCTGCTGACTGGAGCTTGGTTGCTGCTGCCCGCTTTGTGTATGGCTGCAAGTTCGTACTCCGATGCGGAAGAAACGTCTGGTCATCGATGAACTCCGTTTGTTCAATGATTTGGATTTTATAGTCCAATCCCTCATCCCCTCGATGCGACACCTCTCCCCAGTACAAGAAGTGGTCATTGTTAACTACACGACCACCAAAGTCTATCGTGCTGAGCACCGAGGTGTGCTCCGAGTAGTAGTTGTCTGCATCTGGACGCACATATCGGTTGCATAGGCAGGACTTCCCCACGCCACAATTTCCCTTCTCTTTCTCCGTCCCCGAGAGGCCAACCACGCTGACGGCGAATGTTGGGGGGCGTGCATCCTTGTTCTTGGCCATTATATCCCCCCACTCATTGCTAAACTAGTTACTCTCAGGAAGAAAAGGTCATGATATCATCCCAGGTCTGCTTGTCAGTGATACAGAGATGCATTCATTTTCATTTTCCCTGGTTCCAGTGAATGCTCTTCTCCGTATATATCTCGGTTTCTATCCTGGATCTTATTCAAGCTGGGATAGAGCAGCCCACGGCTCCTTTTATCAGCTGCCTGCAAGATATGGAATTCAAAATTAGGAGAAGATACAAGCAAATCAAACAAATCCACATTTTCAGCCTTCTGTTGTACTTACTATAAAAAATATAATCAGCTTCTATTTGTCTACATCATGCTCTGGAACACACATGGACATGTAAATTGTGAAGCAATGAAAGAAAATCATACATGTTCATCTAAAATTAGATTGTGTTAACAAAAAATGAGGTAAAATACACTTTATCATATTTGAATAGGGAAAAAAAGCTCACTCGTGGGTTTGAGGAGGTTTTAGTCAGCCCTTTTATGTGTAAATAATAAACTACACTGGTTTAAAAACCCTACTACAATAGGTTTATAATGTAAAAATGTGATGCAAAGGCCGAAAGTGAAAAAGGGAAAACTTTGTTATCAAAACTGCAATATCAAAATGGCATTCTAGGAAGACAACAACCAAAGTGTGACAGCAACATTTATATAAGAGAGGGAGAGTAGTACAGTCACGGAGGGCTCAGCAATGTCACTCTTCCCGTTGCTGAGAAAAATAAGTGCTTTCAACCAATTTGTGCCGAGGCAGAATAAAAATGGCATGCAACTCCAGCCCTTTGATAGCCACTGACCTAGAAATGATTTACTTTACTCTGAGAAAGAAACAGAAAATAAATCAGTTCTCAGATTTGTTACCATTACCAGCACAAACCAGCCTTGCATAATTACGAGTAAATATATAATCCTGATTACTTTGCTTGGTGTTGTCATAATAGATTTTGCCTGATATTCCGGTTCTGACTATTAATCCTGATTATAACTGTTGACTATTTGACTAGCAGCATTAACAAGCAAGTGAAACTAAACATTTCACTGTCGACAATCAGGATAATCAGCAATTCCTGATTGAATAAACAGAAAATGCCTACATGTGATTGACCGGGCAATCTTTCTGTAAATATTATCTAAATTAACACGGTCAAATACAGCTGAAACCTTCCATGACCTTACTCGAGGCTGATAAGTGATAGCTGCAGAGACAATTAGAGTCACTGTTGTTTTTACAGAACAGTTGCAATCAGTCAGTGAATCTGCCTGCGTGTGCTGGAATTTCTACATGCAGAACGACGGCATGCTGAGCCTGAGAAACTGCACCAGAGCAGAAATCTGGTTTGCTGACATGAAATGACGAGGTTTCCCCTGACTCTTCACAGAGACCAAGGTGATGATGTCACCTGTGGGATGGGAGTGTACACAGGGCTCAGCAGAAACAAAGACATTAAAAAAAGGAGGGGACATGGCTGTAAACTGGCTCATGTCAAATGACAAAAAAGATTTTAAAAGGCTCACCTTCCAAGAATCCTTTTTGGATAGACTACAAACCAAACCTAACTTACAAACCAAACTTAAGCATAAACTGGAAGAAACTGGCTTAATGATAGAAAATGTGCTTTAAACTGCATGATCTTTATATCTCAAAACCACCCAGCTAGTCTGTCAGGTTTACAAACCTATGTACTATATGCTACAACATGCTACTGTGCCACACCTGACTGTAGTAGCAGTCAGATAGAAGTATATACGAGCTTATAGATATTTTGAAGGCAGAAATTATAATTATTCTATGTATTTTTTTCCTGTCTTTCTAACTGACTTATTGCTGATCCTGCTTTTAGTGCCACATTAACTGACTGATCATAGGCTATATCCAGTTTGTCTTCCCAGCAGCCAAAACAAGCCTAAATATAGAAATGACAATAAACATCAAACTAAGGCCATCTACTGACTGATGACACTCCACCCAGGAATACATATGGAATCTTCACCTGGTTACTAACTTAAACAATCAGTTACAAACTGCAAAATCTACTCGTGTGGATTTGAAAATTAATCACTGCAATGCTACATTCCTGGCACCTCAGTGTTTGAGATCTGTCACCCAAATTCCAGCATCTGCTTTGCATTAATTTCAGATGATATCAAAGTTGTCAATCCACAAGGTCAATATGAATGAATAAGTGCCACACATGAGAAACAGTGGCAGTAATGGGCAATTAGCTTCACACTGAAGACAACCAGAAGGGGCGGGTGATGGTTTTATTATTGCAAACAGCCAACACTAGAGCCTAAACTGCATTTATGCTGCACTAATAGCTAAAAGTAGCCGTATGCATCATGATTAGTCCATTCACTGTGAGGCTGCAGGGGGGGGATTAAGGTATCACTTGGCAAGCTGGTTTTAGAGATGACTAAATGCTGTTAAGCCCTGAAACACAGCGGAACACACTGCCAATGATGATAAACCTTTTAAAGCTACACTGGCTGGAATTTGTCAGTAGAATTAAACCTTTTATTGCTTTATTTATTTAGTATTATTATTCCATCCTAAGTCTGTGGTGCTATACCAGAGAAGGATGTGCCAATCATTTAAAATGAGGCACAACTAGTTTCTTCTGACCTGGGTACAGACAGCTCTCCTCCCACAAGAAGTGAAGAATCAGAACTCAGAAGCAAAACAGAAACCACTTCCTAAAAGGTAGCGTGAGCTCCCTGTTAGAGGAGGAACTGACTCCCCCAAGTATTGAATCTTGTCCTCCACACTAAGGACTAGTTTACTGCTACAGCCTAACTCCCAGAATTTCTGAATTTCAACTTTTTAAAACCATTCATCATCTGCCATCATCAGAAGAACTACAGTTGATATAAAGCACCAATTTATTAGGCGCATAACGTCCACCACAGAATGCTACAAAAGATCTACCACATCCAGAAATAATCAGTATCAAAAGGAAACTCGTCACTGTGACACTGATCAAAATCTAAAAATTTGACTCCGAGTGTCAGAGTATGCAGTGGTGTTTCCCGTAAAGTGCCTTCCTTGTAAGACGCTCATTCTTTAAAAACTGTGTCACCCTCCTCCAAAGTCAGGTACAGACCTGAACCTGGGCGTCACTCATCTGACTTCCCCCTCCCTGGGGGTATGAATGATGTAAGAACAACAGTTTATAGGCCAACTGACACAATCACCCCCCTCATCACTTGCAGGGCTTGTCAGTGCTAGTGCCTTTATGCAGTCTGTAGAAGCCAATGCTAGCTATGAATATTTGCCAGTATATTAGCATAATGCCAATACCAATATCCATTTTTTCCTGGGAGCAATGCAGACAAAACTGCAAACCCTTCCAGACAAGCCTATCCATGAATATCAATTCTAACAGAAAAGGAAATGTTAAAATGATAAAGACGGGAACTCCACTTTACCATTCTTTCTACCAAATCCCTACAGGTTTCACACTATGACACAATACATATATTATTTTGATATCTTCTAAGGAAAGCCTAGGATTTATTCGACTTTTCAGACCACTATTACTAACCGGATCGTTAGCTTTTCTCCAAAAAGGCCATTTAAGAGAAAAAGCTGAAGAGAAAAGCCTGAAACACACTGACACTGACGACAGTGATGGACATAAGAGCCCCATCACATCATTTAGTGAACCCTTATGGTTTTATGGACACTGAAAAGACACAGTAGCACATTCTAAGTGGAAACAACAAAGAACCTAATTGCCATTATCAACACAAATGGGTCCCACTAATAACTGATGCTTTTAAAAATAAAGAAAAATCTCTGTAACTCAGCATTAGGGCAGTTTTTTTGCAGCGAGGTCTGCAAAAAAGGGAGGAAGCATTATGATGGGGTCTTGGATAAAAGCCGGACTACCCCTTTAATGAGAGTTTGGGAAAGGGGCAAAGGGAGAAGCAGCAGCCTGAGTCGATGCAAATGGCATGCAGAGCTGCTGCAGCAGGACAAACCCACTGACCTGCCTGCGTATTGTGAGGCACCGAAGGGGGGAAAGGCGTTAAAAAGCACCTAATGACATATGTGGTTACAACTCTTCAGCACCGCTGAGACGTTAAGGGTGTGTATGTGTAAACACACCCTCGTTAATGTCGGGAAAATTCAATAATCTGCCCAGCGGCACTCCTGGATGTGACCCTCCACTCAGCCCTCCGTCCCCTCGAGCTAATGTTAGCAGGATATTAACGCAGAAAATCCAGCAACTTCCAAAAGCACTCAAAAACAATTAAACGACCTATTAATGCGAGGCGGGCGTGAAGGCTATAAACTCAGACGACAGCTGCGATTTTTTCCCTACTCCGTGATTACTTCAAATTTTCTGCTTTAACATATTTATAACAGTGTTATAAAGCCAACTGAAAACGGGTGGGTATCACATAAAACATCAAAGTAGTCTAGAAAAGAGGAGTGAGAGTGAGTTAGAGGAGTTAACGTGAATTAGTTATGCTGGAATTAAAACCAGCAGACCTTTATATTAAGTTAATGCGTCAATCCTTCGAGGCTAATGCTGGGAGCCCCGGGAACTGATAGGGCGGTTATGTATCTACCCTAGAGAGAAAAGGCGATACCCGGCTCGGCCTGCCTTGGCCCTGATACTGCTCCAGGAGAGGAAAAACCCACCTTTCCCAATCCTACAAGCTAGCATTAGCCGAACACTGTTAGCCTAGCATGCCAGGAGGATGAGTTAGCTAGTGGCTAATGTTAGCAACAGCCTCACATTGGGAAGACTTATTAAAATTACAACCTTGGCTGATTTAACAAGCCCGTCTCACGTCCCCATCCCAGGTTCTTTTGACTCGGGATGGCGCAGTGGTGCGGGCACCCTTCACCCACAAAAAAGGAGTGCTAGTTTAGCTAATGAAGTACCAATCCCAGTCCAAATACATTCCCCTACCCACCTAATAACATGGTCGCTCCCAGATCCACATACCACGGAGAAGAGGAGAAAGCATTCCCACATTAAAAGGCAATCAAAACTCTTTTCACAATCCACAATCCGTGGTCACTGGCGACTTCCCCAAAATCCGAAGTCAGTTTTAGTTGAAGGTGTAGTCCACTGTAGTCCTACAAGCCCGGTTAGCCCGTATTTTAGTGTATTTTGGTGCTGTTAGTGTGGTATGCGTTGAAAGCCGAAACCTGGCTCTGTATGCTCCCTCCCCTCTCAGCAGCACAGCCAGGCAGTAATGGCGACTTTCTCTCTCTCTTCCACTCCCTCTGCTGACACTATGTCGCTCTACCTTTCCCATTCTCTCTCTTGCTCTCTCCACTGATCCACCTGACTCTCTCTCTCTTATGCCACATGAATAATATGTAACATGAGGTGTAAAATCAATTTCACTGGCATGCAAAAGAGCACAGAGTAAGTTAAAGGTACCCATTGGAAACAGGAATTCTTGTGTTCAAAGCTAATTCATTCAGTTTTATATTATTATGAACAGAATTTTAAGAAACGACCACCATTACCTCGTGTTAACAATTAATTTATGTAAATGTTTAGGATTTTATCAAATGAGATTATAATACCATAATAATATTATTAGTACCAAATTGTCCCATGAGATGGGTCAACCAAGCTAGTCAGTAAGCCTTTGTGTTAACATTGTGGCTAATCTTGAGGAAAAGGTGACAAAGCTAAAAAGAAATAAGAACAGCAGTATACCAAAAATATATTTTAACACACCCACCGGTAAAATGCTTCCCCCTGGTGGTAAACGTTTTAGTTCAAATCTATAGGGGGTGATTACAAAAAGTATCTTTAAATTTCTAAACTCAGCTTTAATAAAATGTTAAACATGCACAGATTTTAACACAACATATGGAAAATATAATTACACTAACAACAAAAAAATTTTAAGACTTTCATTTTGAAAGGAGAAATGTGCAAATATGAAGCTATTTGCATCAGACTAATGATATCATTTAAAGCTAAGTTATCGATAGCTTTATCAATCGCTTTCTTAATTCACAATAACACAACTGGTAAAACAAGCTGATCAGCTTCGATTTCCTTTGTTCCATAAAAAGGCAAGTATAAAATAGCATCACACCTGACTCTTTATGTCAAATTGAATCTTGATTTTTGTTTTTTATCATCCTTCTCATATTTTTTGCCTTTAAATTGCCCACTGAGTTCTGTGTTGCTTCTATGTTGCAAGTTTCATCTTTTTCTTTTGTTTTATGTTGAGTTTCTCAACTTCACCTGTCACATCCGTTTTATTCCAGATTTTTACATTTCAGTATCTGACTTTCATGTTTTTTTTATGTACGTTATGTGATGAAAAAGAGAAATTCTTCAGTATGCTATATAACAAGCAGAGTTGGCTAACTGGATATGGGGTGAGCAATGTGTCCTTTGCTTTCTGTGTTTGCTGCGTCAACCACTGTGGGTTTATGGTACTTAAAGCACTTGAAAGAAAAGTGTGAAAGACACAAGAGTAGCTATAGCCACTTGGACAATAGCATGAAAGCTTTTTGGCAGCCTTAGCATAGTAGAACAGCTGGATAAAGGCTATCGAATTGGCAGAAGAAAGCACAATGAAGAAGTGACACAAAATCACCACATTCTGTCTAGAATCAAAGACTCAATCATAAGCACAAATCCATAAAACTGCAGTGTTTATACGACTCGCATGCAACTGTAGTAACAGAATATCGAGAGATATATTCTCCCTTCTTTGCGATTTTTCACCCTGTCCATTTTTACCTTTCCGTCTTTGTGCCTCTGTCTCGTCCCTGATTCATTTCATAATCCTCTTTATTGGCATAAATGTTAGATGAACCATGTTGCCAAATCATCTAAACACAAATTCAAATTTCACTCTCGCTCTCACTCTCTCTGTGATGTAATTAGGGATTGTTTTTTCCCAGTGAAAATTGTTTAATCATGTATAATGTGCCTGTGGATTATTCCAACAGGGAATACAGGTTCAGACAGTGAGTGGATGCAGCGTGTCCTCGGGAAGCAGTTGAGGTTAGTCAATGAATTAAGCACTGTTTTCTCTCTAGGTGCTTAAAACAACAAAGTAAATTCAAATGTCCTTTCTGTGGTGTTACTGTGTAAATACTGACAGTAAGTAAAGGAAACTCTGCACACACTGTTGGATAGTGGTGAGCCACGGTTGCACAAAGGAGTCCACACAATGAAAACCCTTCATTTATATTTCAGTTGTTCTGGACTGGGATCAATATGGACTGCTGTGGTTCCAGTGAATTCCCTTGAGTGAAATGGTGTGTTAATGAGCCTCAGAGCACAGAAAGACTACACTCCCTCTGACAGGAGTGAACACTAAGCAGGGATGGGTCAGAAAAACCTAGCAGACGGTGAAGTCATATCAATTTATTATAACCAATACAGGGAAAGCCGTCCTTTGTCCTGAAAAAGAAAAAATGCCATTGATCGTGACCTGCATTCAGTTCAGGTGTTTGTTCATCTTTCACTTACAAAGTGTTTCTGTCTCAAACACACTTGGTTTCGAGTTCAGTCCATCACCATTTTGAAAGCTTCCTTTCCAGAGCTCCCATTTCACACCAGTGATGTAACAATGCCACAGGGACAAATCCATCAGAGAAGAAGAAACACTGAAAGCAATTTGTAAACCCAAGGGACACCAGAGACCAGAGTGAAACGTGGCTATAGTGGAAAGGTTTGCTTTGAGTGTCCACAGTTATAGACAACCTGCATGGCATTATACAGGCTCTGTGGCTGTATTTGTTGTTGTTTTTTATTGTAGGCCATATTTTGCAAGCTCAGGCTTGTAAATATAATCTTTTTCCACTTCAAGAACTTAAAGTAGTTATCAGAGTAGATGGAGGTCGTCCTCGCATAGAGACAAATCATGCTAGATTGTTTGTGCAGCAGCTTATTACAAAAATATATTTATATTTTATTGTTAAACAACCTTTAGCCTTTATTTGAGCCCCAAAATACTGTATTTGTGCTCAAGCACCTTCTAGTAGCAATTATGATGGTGCAAAGGGGAAGGCCTTTTCTTCCATTATGACAAACAAAATACTGAGTAAACAATATTTACACTGCTGGAGAGCCCTGTAATCTCCACCAGTGTGCAAACAAGCATTTTATGTGCATGTAAATATGATGGAAACATCAGTGCACCTATTTTCATTGCTATCTGTCCTCTTTCACTGTTTATTCCACTTACATACTTAACAGAACATAAACAAGACATATGTACAGTTTCTGCACCCTTTTAATGACAAATATGATATAATCACCAAGTTCTTTTAGGTTATGGTTGTTATGGACAACTGCAAGCAGTGTGATGCAGCCTGAAATAATTTTCGGGGGAGTAAGCTGCGAATGTAGTTTAATGTAGTTTTATTATAAGGAAAAGTCAAATTTGCTGAGAAATTTGACTTGTGTGTGTTTTTTGAGAAGTTTGCAGTGACTGCCCACAGGCGACCCCTGCTGTAGGTGCTGATGCTCGATCAGCACCTTCACACAGAATGTGCAGCTTTTTCACTTTCTTACACTTTTTGTGAGCCTTTCATGTTTCACTTTTCTGTTTTATTGAAACTCCTCACGGGGCATTTTTTTCCTCAGCATGCATCACTGTCCTTCATTTCTCTCAGTCGCAAAGTTTGTGTTGCTATAACACAGCATCAAACTTGGCACGAGGTTTCGACTGCAGCAACAGAGGCCTGTAATTGGCTGTGTTGGGGGTGGGGGTCGGGGGAGGGTGGGACACAAGAACAAGTACTTCCTCTTTGACTCTTACTGATGAGGTTTGGGTAATCCAGGCAGGATGTAGTGGCATATAAAGAGGCAGGATTTTCATTTTTTAGATTACAGCAGCATTATTCACAACGCAGTTACTCTAGCCACTTCCAAAGGAACCACAAGGCAACACACAATAATTAAACAGCAAGTACAGCAAACCACAATGTTCCACAAAAAAGAAGAGTGAATGATGTGCCAGATTAAGAAACCAATTCAATAAAAGTGCATTATTAAATTAAATTCTAAGCTAACCATTCTGATTTAGTCATGTTCTCACAAACTCTCCATTTATTAAATAATCTAACTTCTTTTATGGTTAATAATCAGGAATATCTTGGAGTGCCTGTGATTTAAACCCACCAACTCCTGCTTAAAAGGAACATTACCAATTCACTATTAAAGTGGGGAAATAATTGTACGCGATCCCCTTCTGAATTTGTAAGTTTTCTCACTTAGAGAAATGACAAAGAAATGAACAGTCTCTGGTTTTTATGGTAGTTTCATGTTCATTGGGTAAAACACATTACATCAACGTTCTAAGTTGATTTGCACGTTATTGAATGAAATAAGTATTTAAACCCATCCATCCATTTGCTTCCGCTTGTCCTTTTCAGGGTCGCGGGGGGCGCTGGAGCCTATCCCAGCTGTTATAAGGTGAGAGGCGGGGTACACCCTGGACAGGCTGCCAGTCTGTCGCAGGGTTAACACACAGAGACAGACAACCATTCGCGCTCACATTCACACCTATGGGCCATTTAGACTAATCAATTAACCTATCCCCACCAACTGCATGTCTTTGAACAGTGGGAGGAATCCAGAGTACCTGGAGGGAACCCACGCAAAAATGGGGAGAACATGCAAACTCCACACACAAACCCTTCGGCCTGATGGTGTAATTGAACTCAGGACCTTCTTGCTGTGCGGCAACAGTGCTAACCACCATGCCACCGTGCTGCCGTGTGTATTTAAACCCCCACAACCCAATTCTGGCATCACAGACCGGCAGTGTGCACATGTGGCACAATCAATCAATCAATTACAGGCACCCGTGAGCTTAACTTTTTATTTGCATAAAACACACCGGTCCACAGAATCAATCAATCACCACCAGGAGAAAGACCAGAGCTGTCAAAGAAAATCAGGGACAAGTTTGTAGACATGCAAAAATCTGGAATGGGCTACACGACCATCGTCGAGAAACATTGTGAGATGGTGACAATGGTTGGTGCGATTATTCAGAAATGGACAAAATATAAAATGACCATCAATCGCCCTGAGGAGGAGTTTGTTAATGATCTGAAGGTTGGGGGGACCACAGTCAACGAGATCACCGTTGGTAACACACTATGCTGAAATGGACAGAAATCTCGAGAGGTCCCCCTGCTCAAAAAGGCACATGCACAGGCCCATCTCAAGATTGCCAGGAGACATCTAAATTA